CCAATGGTTCGTTATTTTATTCATGGATGGCAAGCGAAGCCAAACAGTCGACGAATCGACAAGGGGAATCGCTACAAACATTTTTGGGTAAAGTGCAACCTGATGACCCCTTCGGTTCCATCGATCGTTCCACTGCACGGTGACAAAAAACGCGAAGAAAGAAATTGTTACAGCGAAGTAGCGAAAGACACCGCGGTAAAACGAGAAGCTCGTAAAGAGTGGTTCGAACGACGAGAGGACATTTTTGTCCTAAAGTTCGCCCCGTCGCCGTAAATCACCGCTTTAAACGTCCTCTCTTCTTCGCGCTGGAAGCTCTACCGAAACTTGAAGCGAATAACAAAGTGGTCGAACGAGAGTTAACCACGCATAGTATGTTGTTTCTTCGCGAATATACGTACGTACCTACATACACCGTCAAGTGAGCCATAACAAGGTACAAATAATCGTGGAACCAGAGTACATCGAAGAGCCGAGTGAACGACGCTTCTGCCAGCCGATATATTATTGCGGTACTTTTACGACTAACTCGCGGACAGTTTGTTTCGTTTATTCGTACGCTTCTCTTCGCGTTTTGACCGTCTTCGAAGTTCCGAAAACTCGGAACAGCCATTGCCAACGGTGAGCCTATAACACCGAAACGAGAATGCTATCCGATTTGCAGCAGGATTAAGTAATTAGCACGCGATCGATCGAACTCTCTGACTTCCTACGAATTCGGCTAGAGGATAATGAACTGATCGTTACTTACTGCGATCGATTACTATAATGTTGTGTAACGTAGATAATGTTAGAAAGGGATGCATAGATTATTGGATGGACATGCGAAACTTGGAAGAAATCGAGTAAAGTTTAAATTGTCTTTTCGCTCGAAATATGACGTTCACTCTTCTATAGTGGATTATTTTTCCAAGTCCCAAAGTTTCAAAGCTTCATAATTTCACAGTCTCAAAGTCCCAAAGTTCGACGATACCAACGTCCCGAAGTTTTCGATGTAGCATAACGGAGAATTTGAATTTTCCGGCCGAATCGATACCGAGGAAGATGCAAAGCATCAGAAATCGCGTAGCTAACTTGTTAATCTTGGCGAGAAAGAGAAGGAAAGTTGCCCCGAGCGAGACAAAAGGATTCACGGAATCCGGTAACGCGTTCGAGTGCTTCAAAGAAGGCAGTTAAGAGAGAAACGGGATGGGGATGGAGGGGGAATGTACACGAAGAAAAGAGGGTACCCACTCGTGTTTGGAGTGTGTACTCCGTTACAATGAGCCGCGAGGTGAAAAAAGAGAACGAAAGGGTAGAAACAAGAGAGACAGAGAAAGAAGAAAGGAAACAAGAAACACCTCACCTCGAGCCACGGTTAATCCACTTACGCATACGTACAGGTACCTACATAATTAGTTTTAGCACCGGGACTCGTTAACCTCGCCCTTTTCCAACGAACTTTCCAAAAACAACAGCTAATTTTGATGGTGCGTTAAAGAATACCAGTGGTTAGTCGAGAAAATACTCGTGAAAATATTATTCGTAACCCCCGGTGACGGTCGTACGGAAAATCAAACTTTTCGCCGAGCAACCGCGGAGCCAGTTTAATTCGACTTGTTTAATTTACAAAGTAGCTTACGACTCCAAGCATAGTTTAATTCGAATGTTACGATTTCAAGAAAAATTTCGAAACTCTAACAAGTGCAGCGGTCTGGTCGAACTCGATTACCTTAATTCGCGATCAGTCTTAAACATAGAACTAAGAATATCATTGGGCGATTATTTTAACTTTTCCAGGTGTATTTGGAACGATACCTATACGAGCATTTTAATGGCCACATATTTTATGGAATCGGCAGTTCTCTCTAAAGTATCTTCGAATTCTCTCAAAGTTCTTACTATCCGTAGACTCTTCTATCCCCGTTAGAGGAGGAAAACGATTCGATGTTCTTTCCCCTATATTTACTCTCGAGTAAAGGAAACTTACTTCGCACCCAACTGTGTACATAATACGATACAGAATTCGGTTGTAAAACATTAAATATCAAAGCGACGAATAAACGTCGACGACGAAGTCGCACATTTCGATGCAACGAAACTAACGACTGGTCCGAGCGAAGAGGGGCACGAGTCTAGGTGGCGAACGATCGACGATCGGCGGCATATAAAAGTCGCGGGGGTGCGCGTGAGTCATTGTTGCGCCAGACAGGGTGGTTACGGGGTGGACCCACACTCGTTAGGGGATATTTTAATGGGCCGTCGCTTTGGATTTGCCGGTGTTTAATTACAGGGGTTCTCAATTCGAGTCTCTTGTTCTTCGCACGGCTTCTTTCAACTGTACAAGTTGACTCGTAAACGAATTTTCCGGTCAACAGCACCGGATAAGTTTCGACTCGTTCTTTCGATTTACCCTTTCGCGCTATCGATAAAACATTGATAGATTTATCGCTTTGATCGTGAGCAGCGAACGTATTAAAAATCCTTTGCCTTTTCAGAATTTCTAATGATCTGATTAAATCCACGACGCCTATCCCTGCTGGCCAATCAATGCGTTAAAAATTCAAGAAAGGAAGGGAAGAAAATTTCCCCGAGCACCGATACCAACTAATAAATTCTTTTCATCTAAAGTTCACCGGCATCTACGAAACAAAAAAGAAGCGCGTCAAACTAACTTTTTTTTAAGACGATAAAACTGCACCCTGGTCAGATACCTGCAGTTTAAACGCTTCGATCGTTAAAAAAATGTATCGAGTAAAAATGATCGGACGGTTATTGGAGGCATACGAATTCGACGAGGAAGGTTGATATATTTTGGTGGTGTATCAGAATGACTAGCATAGATAGGAGACGAAGGAGAAGAGGCATCATACCAGTTGGATAGGGATAGACAGAAAGGGTTTCTCTGTCGTTGAAACCAAGAGAGAGAAACGCGCTTTTGTGCGTGTGCCACGCAACGAAACGAAATAACACACGGCGCAACGTAAACGCACGTACTCTACCCTCCGTTCCCTATGGAAGGGATGTAGGGAGAGAGGGAGGTGAACCAGCACCAAGAGGAGAGGCAGAAGGAGAAGGGACAGAGAGCGAGAGCAAGGAGAGAGGGGCACTTTACCACCCCATAAAAAGGGGGGTTTGAGTGTTGTGTCTGGAGCTGGACCCACCCTTGGGTGAACGCCCTGGAACCCCTGCGCGCAGACGATTTTTCATCTCTGTCTCTCTCTTTCTTTCTCTCTTCGTCCTCCCCCATGTTCACCCTCTCCCGCACGCACTCTCCTATCATCGTATCCTCTTCGTTTCGCCGTCATCGTCGTTTTCTCTGTTCCGCGCTCGAGTCCTTTGCTCCTGAAGCAGACGACGCAAGGTGTCTACTACGCTCCTGGACATAAACGGAACGCCACCACGAATGGGTGTAGGCTAGTTCTACGGGGACTTTCTATACCCACAGGCACGTCTCAGATACGCTTTAGAAGACGTTACTTAACCGTCTGTACGCGTTTCTCTATCGACGACACACCTCCTGTACCCTGTTCTATTCCCTGTTCATAAATGTAATGCATTTCGAGACGTAAAAATTCCAAAACTCGAATCGATGATCTTCGAATCGCTTCTAAGCGTGTTTCTGCGCTGCGTATTCACGAATATGGCGTACGGTTAACGGCTCATACAACAGTACAAACTTGTTTCGTCGGTAGTTTTTATAGAAACGTACATGTCTGCCTAAAAGCCAGCCTCTTTGTAGCCGTTCTCCCCTTTTATTCAACTTCAACTACGCCGCAATACGTTTGAATTTATTCGCGTTTTCGAGTCAATGGCCTCTCTTCGAGCCACGCTGTTCCCGCCACCGAGTGCGATTAAGGGTGCCTACCACGCGTTCAGACGGATTTCTTACGAGGCAGGGGTAATTTTGTTTTTCTCCAATTTCGAACTCGTTCGAGAATACAGTACCAACTTTTTACGATAATTACGCCTGTCCTTAAATCTATTTTGTCGAATTTCTGAATTAGGTTCGCGTGAAAAATACAAAATATTTTCGAAGTTTAACAACGTCCAAAAATCGATATTAGAAATTCAAAGAAGCAGCACGAGACAAGTTCGAGAATCAAATAAGTGCTCGACGCGTATTTGAAAATTAACGAGGCACATATTTCTGGTCGATTTTCCGCGGATTTATCGGAGCCCTCTCGACGAAAGAAACTTATTATACCGGATGTGACCACTTCGACGACCCTCTTCGCTGGAAGCTAAGCCCGAAGCGAGCTGGCACAAAAGTCTCTGCTCTAGAAATTCCTCGCACGATGCAGATAATCTGTAAGAATCGCGAAAAAGGAGGCGCGAACGGTAAAGCGACGCGAGACAGGGGGTCGGGCCAAGAGAGAAAAGTTTCGAACAACGGCGGAGTGTTCTTCCGTGTTACAGAAACCAGATCCCAGAAAGAGTTTGCCGTCGAGGTCGAGCCGGGGAAAGAAATAGACGTGGTCTGTAACGGCTGCAACGTAAGAACCGTGTAACCCTGATCCGAGGAAAAGAGCTAATTAACGGCGTGTTGAACGAGCTGCGAGGAAAGAGAAAATCCAACGGTGGAAAGTTTCGTCAGGGAGGGACGGCGATTTATGAAAACTACCCTCTAATAACGTAAACGCGAACGCGAAGTAACGGGAACGAGCCACACCGTTAGGTGAAACCAAGTTCCACGCTACCGTAAGCCGAATGAATGACCCCCATAAATATCGCGAAATTCCAGCGGCCAGCCATGCAAGCGGAAGCTTCGATTTATTGTTCCACGCGTGTCGTCGACTCACTTTCCCCGCGTTTTTAATCGTTGTCCCTTAGCGAATCGATAAATCGCTCTGACCGTCTACCAAACTGATGGAAACGTACCGTTTCCATGTACGCGAACCTTGTTACAAACGGAGAAATTGTTTCCCTCTTTATTTTCTTTTTCGGATGTCCTTAATGGAAGTGTTTCAGATTTTTCGACCGATCGTTTTTTTAACAAAAGTTTTCCATTTTTTCTCTTTCAGAGATCTCGATGAGGATTCTCGCCAAAGTATAACAGTTTAACGACGATGGACAGATCTAGTTCTTATCGAAGACCTCGTGGAAACAGATCCATTACGCAAGAATCAAGGTACGTATTCCAGGTATCAACGTTGTCAAGGTATTTTTTAAAACATTCAGAACATCGAAATATTTCCACGCGTATTTTACAGTGACGGTGTTATTAAAATCGATGGAAACTTCGTCTCATTTTTTATTTTTATTAATAGGATTAAAGCAACAAAGGGGAGTGCACGTTGAAGCTTGGCGAGAGGTCAGGAATCGGGTACACGGAGAACGTAATACAGAACATGAAAGGGCAGACAGATAGACGGTCCAGGAGGGTTGACCGAAAGGGTCTAGAGTCTAGGGACAATCACCCCTGTTCGCAACGTCGCATGTAAACGAAAAACGGTTACATACTTGCACAAAGAACGGCATCGATTATCGATTGCGTTCTAATAAAATAAAGTACAAATTAAATTGTACAAAATACAGAATATAAATTCCTACAGATGTAACCATCGATCGGATTCAATCTTGACGGGTGAAATCGAGGAAACGTCAAATTATCCTTTTTGTAGAAGTCACGATTTTTATTTAACTATCAGATTCGAGTTATCTTTTGACTGTTAATTTATAGTATCTCCCGAGACAAATGATCACGGCGAAGTGAAATGCGCCGGTCGCGTCAGACAGATAAAATACTGCAGTTCCGAAAGGAGAGGTAACTAATACGAACGCGTACAAAATTCAACGTGTTCCACCGGCAATCATTCCATCGACCTTAATCTCGCGTAATAAGTGTCAAACGAAGACAGAAAAGAAGCGATTCTTGTTCCAGGATAGATGCGAGTAAAAATCGAATGTTACGTGTCGATGGTACAAGAGCAAAATGTACGAACTAAAATTGAATTAAAAATAATTCGTTTCGATATAGAAGCACCCGGTTAATACGTGTAGACACAATTTTCTATATTCGTAACGATAAATCCATTTTTTCGAATCGGACTAATGAGTTCGTTTTCCAAACGCAATCGTATCGTCTAGCAGGTGAATCATATTTCATCCCTTTCGTTCGAAAATGGCGACCACAATTTTGTGCTTTGTTTTCGAGGCGAAAACAGAGATCCCGGCCAATCTGCGTAAAACAGAATTTTTACGCGACAAGCATACCGGCGCCGAGCCGCGCCACGGCGTGCCGCGTCGAAAAGTAATTCACCGTAAAATCGATAGTTTACGCTATGTGTCCGCAAAGTATCGTTGACCTGTCGGCGTTAATACAGGGAGCCTCTTCTATGCACCCTCTTAACGGCGGCTTTGAATTATTAAATCGACTTATGGCCTTGCTTCGTTCGGCGCTAGATGTACGCAGAAAACCAGTTTCACCTGGCAGGCTAATCTACCGATTTGTTACCGATGTCTACCATGCACCTGTGCTTCGCGCTACTCCAGAACCTATAGAATAACCTATCCTCGGGGATAGACTCGAATATATACTGCTCGATTCCTGATTTTTTGTCGGATCTGTTAATTAACCAACAACGTTATTTCCTACCGTCCAAGTCCTCGATAGAAGAACCCCGTCGATTTAAAATCGCAGCTCGATCGAACAGAATCTCGATAAAAATCGAGCATCGAAGCGAACGGACTCGCGTCGCGATTGATTTCTCGAATTCCAATTTTCACGCTGCAAAACGGGCCTGGTTATTTCCACCCTTCGTATCGCGTGCATCTTCCAACACACGCTGGGTGCATACCCGCATCATATTCGTGTTGTACGTGGTTTGTGTGCAGTGAAATGGAGCCGCATTGGAAAGTAGTACGGCCGTGTTTACAAACAGTAAAGAGTCGTGGTGAGAGGGAGACCAGCGGAAAATGAGAGGCAAGGGGATGTCAAAGCTTGGCGGGTTCTCTACGATTTACGCGTAGTTCTATCGTTTATCGTCCTGTTACCATCGACTATTCCATCGATTACAACAACTATACAACAATTTCAATTAGTCGCAATTGCGTTAGTTGAATTTTCAATTCAACTTTTTAATTTTCGCGTAATTCTTCGTCGTTCGGAGTAAGGTCCGAACGGAATGGCAAATTAACTGGTGGACATAAGCAGAATATACATATGGCGAGCTATCGTAGCCACTCGAGAAGGATGCATCGGACCGAGTTCAACAACGTATTTGCGACTTAACTCGCCTTGAACTTTACGACAAGCCGCGCCTCGAAACTGCGCCACGAGAGAATCGAAAGGCTTCGAGTCGTCGCGTCGGTTCAATCTCCAACTCTACATACGGTCAATTCGAAAATTTCCACGGTGTTATCGGTCGGAAAAGTCGTGCTCGATTTCTACGAACGAGTTAATCTCCTCTTCGTTCGGTTTACCAGTTCGCGAACGTTCACACTTGCGATGACAGCTGTGTATCTCTCGACGACGTGCGAGTATAAACGAGGAGAAGATCGAGACGCTCGCTCGTTCTGATTAAAGGAAATCGTGGTACATTGGAACTGTTTGCGGGTAAATAATCGCGAATCAACGCAAAACATGTTTCCTTCGAGCTTGAAATTCGTCTAGACAACCGAGAAAATTTGACGCGTTAATCGTGGCCGAGTATAAAACTCGTCGAAAAATTCCAGTGCTGTCCCTGTAAGTACCGTGCATGATCGAAACGCGTAAAAGAGGTTCATAATGAGAAACGGAAAGGGGCATCTGAAACGTCGATACGAATCGTTTGTCGAGCGTTATCAGCTCGGATTACAAAACATTGTTACGATACGAAGAAACTCGGTGTCTCCTTTGAGCCGAGCGAACGAACCAACGTCGACCATCTTTGCTTTTCCACGACATATGTTTCCTTTCTTTCTACTTGAAGCCGCGCCTTTGATCTCTATTCCGTAGGATTTTCATCGGATCGAACACACCGTAGGATCCGCGAAAGTTCGCCGTCCCGAACCTGGCTGACTCAGCGTGATTCGAGCTTTAGGCATCGGCCTCTATCGCATCGACTATTCCATCGATTACAACAACTATACAACAATTTCAATTAGTCGCAATTGCGTTAGTTGAATTTTCAATTCAACTTTTTAATTTTCGCGTAATTCTTCGTCGTTCGGAGTAAGGTCCGAACGGAATGGCAAATTAACTGGTGGACATAAGCAGAATATACATATGGCGAGCTATCGTAGCCACTCGAGAAGGATGCATCGGACCGAGTTCAACAACGTATTTGCGACTTAACTCGCCTTGAACTTTACGACAAGCCGCGCCTCGAAACTGCGCCACGAGAGAATCGAAAGGCTTCGAGTCGTCGCGTCGGTTCAATCTCCAACTCTACATACGGTCAATTCGAAAATTTCCACGGTGTTATCGGTCGGAAAAGTCGTGCTCGATTTCTACGAACGAGTTAATCTCCTCTTCGTTCGGTTTACCAGTTCGCGAACGTTCACACTTGCGATGACAGCTGTGTATCTCTCGACGACGTGCGAGTATAAACGAGGAGAAGATCGAGACGCTCGCTCGTTCTGATTAAAGGAAATCGTGGTACATTGGAACTGTTTGCGGGTAAATAATCGCGAATCAACGCAAAACATGTTTCCTTCGAGCTTGAAATTCGTCTAGACAACCGAGAAAATTTGACGCGTTAATCGTGGCCGAGTATAAAACTCGTCGAAAAATTCCAGTGCTGTCCCTGTAAGTACCGTGCATGATCGAAACGCGTAAAAGAGGTTCATAATGAGAAACGGAAAGGGGCATCTGAAACGTCGATACGAATCGTTTGTCGAGCGTTATCAGCTCGGATTACAAAACATTGTTACGATACGAAGAAACTCGGTGTCTCCTTTGAGCCGAGCGAACGAACCAACGTCGACCATCTTTGCTTTTCCACGACATATGTTTCCTTTCTTTCTACTTGAAGCCGCGCCTTTGATCTCTATTCCGTAGGATTTTCATCGGATCGAACACACCGTAGGATCCGCGAAAGTTCGCCGTCCCGAACCTGGCTGACTCAGCGTGATTCGAGCTTTAGGCATCGGCCTCTATCGAACGACGTCGTCGTGGATTGCATGGGGTTGGTTACCCGCCATCGTCGCCGGCGGACGACGAAACACGGAAGACGAGCTACGAGTGCGATCGGGACGGAAAAACGGGAAGAGGACACGAGCGCGAATGGAAACGCGAACGGAAACGGAACGGAGACGAGAGAGAGAGAGCGGGAGAGAGGCCACAGAACAGAGAGGAAAATTACGCGTAAACGGAGGAAACGAGAAGAAGCCTCGGGGATGAGAGGAAAACGAACGAGGAAAAGGAAGAATGCGGGCATAAATCGGAAGACGGAGACGGACGAAAGAAGAGCGATCGAGAGGGACGCGTCGATAGAGACACAGAAACGAACAGTTCGTTAATTCTTTAAATCGCAGACTTTTTTTTAAATACATTTTATTCGAATCCTCGACACGTTCGTATCGTTTCATCTTAAAATAATTGAAAAACGTGATTGAATGGCACAAAGGATAGAAAAGTCTTGAACACGGTTAAACGTTTTAAACGCTCGATAGCGTAAGAACACATGAAACGAACAAGTAGGCGTCGATCGCGAGAAAAATGATGCGTCTGAAAGAAAAGAATAATGATTGGATAGAGGAAAGGAAGACGCATAAATAGATAGGTAACTGTAGCAGGAAAGGTGTTAATATTTTGTTGGCATGCACGGTACGGATACGGCACGGTCGCTTTGAAATCGTCGTTAAACGGGAGGGAAAGAGATCGAGACTCGTAAAAGAAGAGGAACGGAGAGCGAGAGTTGTACACAAAGAGAAAAGAGTAGAAGAGCGAGAAGCGGCGTGGCTAGGCGGGGCGGCAAAAGCATAGGAATCGGAAAGAGAAAGCCAGAGAACGGCAGAGAACGAGAGGGTAAAGGAGACAGAATATCGGAAAGAGAGCAGGTTGCGAGCTCGGAGAGCGAGAGAGACGAGCAAGGGGATCAATGGACGCAACCCCGCGGGGCGCTACACTCTCTCGGATACTACGTAGTATCTCGCTGCTGCGTAGTAATACTATGCCCGAGCTACGTACTACGCCCGCCACTATTC